TCTAATGTGCAGCTGAGATACCATTTATCAGGAAGCAGGTTACTCTTTAAGCACCTTGTCTGTAGTTGTGGCAGCCGTGAGCTTTTCTGGCTGCAGTTTTGCTCCTTTTCCACACTGCTGTGATAGTGCTGACACGAGCTTCTTGGAGGAAACTGAGCTCTGTACAGAATGGGCTGTCAGGGTAAAGGGCTGTCAAAAGTGGTAACGCAAACAGGCCCTGAAAGGGGAGCTCCAAGCGTGTTCCCTTCCCCTGCCACCACAGGCAAAATGTAAAGTAATTGTTTGTCTTGCGTTCAAGCAAGATTTTTAATGCATTTATATTCTGAAGTAGGGAAGGGAAGCTGTGTGGAGAAATAAAGGGACTTGAAGTGTCACTTTGATCATTTCTGTAATCTGCATCCATCTGATAGTATTGCTAGGATGCAACTATGGCTTTTATTATAGTGCCTAAGATTTAGTCACTGACTTGGGATGTTTACAAATCCAGTAATAAATACTGGAAATTTATTGGGAAGGAGGAACAGATTCACCGAAAAGGTAAATGATCCTGCATTTATCAACTGAGCAAGGAGTTAAACCTAATTCCGGTGTAAAATCAGTCCTTTCAGGGTCTCCTGCTCTCCCGGAACATCTTCTCAGACTGCCATTCTATGTCGCTGAGGTTGATTACAGTCCTCTCATGCACTAATGAGGATCTAAGATAAGTTCCATACAAACAGCAAGACAAGCCACATGCTCTGGCCTTGCTTTTTAGGACTGTACTTGAAATGTGGCAATGCACGTAGGTGGAGTTTCTTCGGAAAAAAGCGTTATCTTAGTGCTTTTTCCTCTCCTTCTGGCCTTTTGCACAAAGCATAACCCAAGGGGGGCACATTTACATGATGGATATCACTGCTTCAGTCCCAAAATGTGAAGCTAATGCAGCTGCAACAGTAAAGTTTGCCTTGGTTTTGGTTCGAGCGAATTTTGAAGTTGATACAGTGCAGCTTTCTTAAATGTAAGTAGCCCGTATTGCCTTGATGATGGAATGCTTTGCAATGCTTCTAAGAGGTAGGAAATTGCAAAGCCATTTTTACAGCTCGATAATGATTTTACAGCTTAAAACTGTTTATATTCTCAAATAATGTAAGCAGGTAACACTATCTTCAACAGTTCAGGTGACTAAGTCATCTTAAAGCCAATGACAAAATGGTATCTCTTCTGAAAATTAGGTGCATCTCTACATGTCTACTGGCATAAATATCTTCTAAAATTTGGCAGAGAAACTAAGTGCTGTATGTGATGCTGCTTGGTAAGGATCTGACAGAATGAGGACTTGACTGCACAAATCTCATAGTCTGTGCTTGAACATGAACGGTTGGCATACTTGTTTTCTCTCTGAAAAGTGTCTAACTCCAGCCTGCTCTTCCAAAGAGGGCTGATAAAATTCCAGATTCTGAGGGTGATGATTCTTAATAATTTCTAATCTAAACAGTAGAGGCATCAAATTTCCAGTGGCTGCTGTGCTCTGTTTGTAAAATGTAATTTGATAGCAGGACACCAGTGTTTCTTTGGAAGTTGTAAGGGTGGGAGTGCTCCTGTCTGTATGCTTCAGCTTGGCTGTGTAACTTCTGATATGGACTTTGTGTGAATAAAAGTATTTTGCCCCCCTCCCTTTTATTTTTTTGGCTATAAGTAAATAAAATAAACATTAGGCACATCACAGTACAGAGCTGTACTTCAACGGCTGACTTTTGGTTAGTATAACTTTAAGTCTGTCTTTCCTTGAATGTCACTTTCCTAAAAACAGATAAATATTTGTCTGATAACTCTTTTGTCCAAATTTACTGTGTTTTAGAGACAGCTGTGGCTGGAGATGATGGTGTCAGAATGGTCTGCACAATCTCTGCTCATCCTAAAGTTCAGGGAATCATTTTTATTGTTAAACAGAGGCTGGCTGTAGTCTGTCCTAGATGGAAATATAATGAAGCTAGTCCAAAAATGACTGTTCAGCAAGATACAACACTACATTTGACTTAATTATGAAACTGGAAAGGAGGTTCAAAGCGCAAAGAGGAGCAATCCAAGGGGTTTTTATGTCTTGCTCCCAACAGTCTGGAAGCAGCTCACTCTGTGGCAAAAAGAAGCTTGGACCTTTTATCTATTTGTCTGCAGCTACTGGAGCAGATTCCTTGTCTCCTGCAAACACGGTCTAGTGTTCATCTCAGAATTAGAAAAGAAAGTAGGACTGAAATACTAACTGCTGTGCATGCAGTTTATTGAGAACATGGTGTAGTGGGGAGAGAAAAAATCAGGCTAAAATGACTGTGTCAGGACAGCCTTCTCAGCGCTCTCTTACATTCTAGCCTTTGACAGAGATTTTACCTGTTGGGCTGTGAGTAGAAATATAATTCGAGAGAGCACGGATCCCATCCTAGCTACTGCTGAAAAGAGCCAGTTTTGCTCTCAGGACCAATTACAGAAAGATTGTGCTTTAGGTTTGTAGTTCATTTCCTTGCCTGGAGACAACAGCTATTTTCTGAGCCACAGACCCTGCATCAGCAGTTTGTATTCCGACACGGACTCAGGCCTTGTGCCATTAAGGAGCACAATATACTATTAATATTAATTTAGATTTTTTTTTTTGTTCTTATTATTTGGTAAAAGCTCTTTTTCTTATAGGGTTATGCTACTAACTCCTAGCATTTTGCTTTTTCTCTTTTCCATGCCTCAGCAGGACTTTTCTCTGCCTGCGTTGTCTTTTATTTGCTTCTGCATTTCCTGCTCCCCATCACTTGCCCCTGCCAGCCCAGCAGTGGGATTCTGAGAAGCTGCTGGAGACTGAATCTTTACAATAACTATAGCATTTTTCCTGTGAAATTGATAACTAATCCAGGATTGTGCTAGAGACCTAAAATTAAATTTAAAAGCTGTTCTTTGGCCTGCAATGGGCACCCTGTGGTTTTAGAGAGATTAATTTTCACACTAGTAGTATAATGAGGAAAATATCCTTATAGCAGGATTCATTAAGAATTGCTTAAGCTGGGTAAGCTGTGTCCTAAAGGTAGCAGAACAAGGAACTAATAAATATATACACTTAAAGTCCACCTCTGTATAAGTCTAGAACATCATAACTCAATAATAAAAATTACTGAATATCTGGGGGAGGGAGGAAAAAAGCCCAGTCCTGCTTCAAGTAGATAGTTGCACTTCAGATGGAAAGGCACCGTGAGCGTATTCAGAATACTCAGAAATACTGAATATTGCCATAAAGCCACTGCAGCCACCACAGTGATAACTTCCCATACCTTTACAGATACTACCTTGCTGGTGTGGTGTGTGCTATGTCAGGCTGGGTTTGCACAGGGGAGCACAGCGGGGAAGGTCCTCAACTTTTGCCCTGCTAAGTACATGTTAAAAATGCAATGGATGCAAAGGCAATAAAACACATAGAATGTAGTATGAATGCCTGATGCCCCATGAGGCTCCTGGAGAGCTGGTAGCTCTGGAGATGATAGCTCAGGGGATATAGAGGGTGGTGAACAAGAGTAAGCAAACAGGATAATGTTTTGCTGAAAATTCGACCAGGGCCAAATTGACAAATCATTTCCTACATGACAACGACAGTGGGATTCATGCTGAAGTGGAAAGTTTAGTGTTTTCCTGTTGGATCATGTAGATTCGTGGTGTGTGTGCAATGTTGACTGCTGCCTAAAATGCAAAAATGAAAAAGAATGAAAACCTAGCAGAGCAATCTAGCTGTAACAAGTGGAAACAATATGCATGAGACTCTGGTTTCTAGTCTGGAAGGGCTGAATGCAGTGAAAGATAACTGTAAGCATTACACAACAACTCACGTACTTTGGGAGATCTAAACTACAGCTTGAAATAAGGTGTTATGTAACAACACAGTGAAGTCAAACAGCAGTTCTGAGCTGAAAAGTATTGACCTTACTGTGGCCAGGGTGGGAAGAGGGTTGGGAAGAGCAGGGCCCGTTGAGTGTGTAGAGGAACGTCTGGTTCTACACAACCTCTGCTCTGTCTTTTGAGAAAGCTACACCTGTCACCAGGCTTCAGCGTCTCCATATGAGAAAGAACATTTTTCCATTTGTATCTCAGTGCTGTTTATTTGGATTTCAAATTCTCAAGAGCACATATTGTCTCATCTTTATATTTAAATGTTATGTAGTACAGGCAAGAGCTGTTTCTGCTATCCTATAAATATGCTGAAATTCTTCACCAGAATTGAGGCAGGGCTCAAAGGTCTACATCTACCTTTATGTTTTGGGACAAAGGACACACAGCAATTTGGATCGTTTGACACCTTTTTTACACTAATGCAGACATGATACTCGCATTTTTTTTTTCTAAAGAGTTATATATGGTGTTTGTCAGGAAAAAAAGACAAAAGTTCATGGAAAAGTCAGCCTATTTTTAACATTAACTGTAGGCTTGCTGCCTTAACCTAAGCAAGTTGAGAGGATTCCTTAACACTTTGTAAGATGCTCCATAGGCACAGAGGAGGCATTAAAATATAAAAGAGATTTTTTTTTTCTTCATAACTGAAGTAGCAAGCTACTGATAGTAGCTGCCTCCTGAAGGAAATTCATTCCAGAGGAATCGAGAGGGCTGTGCCTTTTACTTATTTGCTAACAACTGCATTTTCCTTGCGCACTTTTATGAAGCAAAATACATGCCTGTATCCCATCTGAGAGCGGGGAACAAAGAGTTAATGAACAATTATCCCAGGTGGCTGAACACTTGAGTTGCGGTAAAAGGCTGTAACATTCGTTTAGCTCCTGTGCTGGTTTCTACCTGTCAGCAGCTCCTGATATAAACTCTACAGGGAATAAAAATGAGCTTGCTCAGACCAGAAGCAGCAAGCATCCTTAGGAACTTTCTGATGCTGCCTTAAAGCCCGGGGTCCAGTCTTATTTTTGCCATTTTTAAGAGGCTTCTGAAACCTCAGTGATGTATATATGGTCTTTGCTGCTTCCTCTGGTGTTTCATTCACTTGATTCTGTCAGTGGAATATGGATGATGAAAGCAGCATTAGATGCATCAGCCCAGATAAAGGTAAGGGGAAATTTTATTTTAACCACTCTTTGAGTAGATTGAGTTACACTGTAGAGAAAAGTGTAGTTTAGGCAGCCTTCTTTCTTGCTTATTTTCTGTTATTCAGATTTTGTTCAAGCATAAAGCAGTTTCATAAAGGAACCTTTGCTGTCTCATACCTTTGTCTCCTGTCACCAGCAAACCTTAAATAATACATGTATCTCCAGTGGCTGCTTCTTCCTGCTTGAAAAAGTGCAAAGGAGGCACCAGTTATGTCCATAGCCTTCATTTTTGCTCGCTTAGGTAGATAGCTGTCATTATAAATAAAGGCTTTCTGTTTTTAACCATAGACCTTTTGCTACTCACCTTATAAAGTAGAAAAGGGGCTCCAATACTATTGTGAACCAGGTGGGATATTTTTAATTTGTTTTTGTAATGCATGATTTGATTTTAATTAGATACAATTTCTGCTATACTCTCAAACAAGTTCATAGAAACCGTTCAGATTGAACTTGCCCCTGGTGAAGTTGTACAAGGGTGAATTCAGTCCTCCCTGGGAACTGCATAATGCTGTTTTAACTAGGCTCAATAAGTTATCTGTAACTTGGGCTTAGAGGTCTTATCTCCTGTGTTGATGGCTTCTTGAGAAATTAAAATAATTAGAAAGGAACTCTCAGAAAAAACCCTCTTGGTTTATTTTCTAAAAGCTTTATCTTTTAGTTGCTTTATTCGGGAAAAATTCCAAAAAGGACACAATCGTACTAACATATTAATTTAATGAAGTGCCTAGTTGCTTGTCTCATTTTCCAATACTGTATTTTATGCCCATTAGCCATGTAATTTTGCAATAGTTGTACTGTAATTAAAGAGGTCTGATTTCACTGTATGCAGAAAAGCTTTATGCTTTGGATGCTATTCTACTTAATACCTTCATGTACATCAGCAGCCCCAACTCTCTGTATTTTTAGCTCCTAGACTATTACAAGGCACATGATCACAAGTATCTTGCCCGCTCTGCTCACTGAAGTTCACTTCCCTTTTACAGCAATAGCCCTGGAATATCACATGCTGTAAAGAGAAAAGAGTCTTTGTTTTGTTACCCAACATCCTTTCAACTTAGCACTGAGTTCAGCTTCCAACTTCTGCACAGACTTACAGGTATCAGAGAGGCTCTCACATGATTATCCCCCTGGAGAATCATCCCAGTACCAGTTACCTACCTTAGTTCTGTGTTTGCAGCTAGGAAAAGCTGAGATCTAGATGTAAGGATGTTCACAGACTGTGTTTCTACCAGAGGGTGTCATTCTAAGCTAGCTGATTGAAGCCTTGCAACAAAGAGAAATAGGATTTTAATAGGATTTATTAAAAGAGCAGAGATTCCATGAGCTTGAAGCCACAGGCAAAGCCATTTAATGATGTTTCCTCCTAAAGGATGGCCGCTTTCCTGTTAGCATTTATGGTATTAAGAGGAAATGTGGTTCTCCTCTCACTAAGGCGTAGAGCAGTGGTGGTACAACACAAGCCAGTAGTTCTTAGTACATGAAAGCCTCTAAAATTATTCATCTGATATCCCTGTTAAAAGAATTATAATGTGAAAGGTTGTAATATAATAACTGTCAATCCTTTAGTATTCTTTGCCTGCTTCACAGAGCTCGCTCTGCAGAAAAGCCACATTCATCAAGGTTTTGTTGTCATCATAGTATCATTAGACTTGCATTAGAGTAGCTTTTGTGTTGGAGCTGAGGATCCAGTATAACAATTTTGAGGACCAAAGTCAACAGAGCTTTTGGGGTTCAGGATGACGGGCCTTGTGCTTTGGGCAAAGAAGGCAGGAAACTTAGAATTATAAAAAATGTTTCTCTATTCCTTTTACCAAGCCTAATCAAAGTGACTTAAAAACAATGCTAGTTGTCTGTTTGAGTGATTAAATCAAGTACTTTCTTTACCTGTGCAAACTAAGTCTGGAGCTGCTGAATATACGATGCAGTAATTACTGATCTGCAGTGTGCTGTCAAGAATGGGATTTGTTTTTCTACGGGTAGAAGAAATTGAATCCCACACTAAATACGTAAGCAAAGATTGAGAGTAAAACACAGTTTGTGGTGATGCTCTGATGATGACCAGTATCCTGCATTTCAGAAGCAGATGGCTTTTCTTAACCTCTTTCAAAATGACTTTTCTTACACCAACTTTGCCTTAAATTCCTAAAGATGTGTTCATAGAAATCCTTCAATAATGTTGATGGATTTCTTCCCATCCAACCTGCCTTAATCTCCCTTTCACTGTTTGTGACCCATGCCACTGAACAGATGGTAAAGTGCTGAAAGATCTTTAAAGGTAAAGAGTTTAAGGTCTTATTTTAATTGAGTATGGGGCTATTTTCTTATACAAGATCAGACACTGGAAACAAGGTGACCTTAGAGTGAATTTTATGTAGTCTGTCTTTGAAAGAAATTTAAAATCTTTATTTTAGGCTGACATTATTATACACACAGTTTTTAGCAAGTTGCTAACATAGTTTTTACATATTTTTACTAAAAGTATCTTAAAAATTGTACTTCCTCTGACAAAACTGGCTTCAGAACTTTTAGTAGAGTTCATTAGTAGGCTATTGTTTTATTTTTAATAATAGAAGGCAAAACTGTATAAATATTTCAAGGGTAGTGAATGTTCTAAATGGAAAATGGATAATAATGTTTTTACACTGAGAAAAGAATTTGATGAAAATATTGAAAATTTCCAAGCCTTTGCATCTCGTTTATGTGGGAGGATGGCGTGAAGGTTCTGGTTTGATAGCTTAGGGATAAATCCATTGTAAACCTAATGCTTCATTGGTAAAATGTGTATCAGAATCTTAATACATTTGTTAAACAGTCTTCCTTAAGGCACAACCTACTTGAAGGCTCAAAAGAAAGCCTAATACTCATTTAAATAAATAATTGCATCAAAATTTTCAGAAGAGCTAAAGTGGTCTGAATGCCGTAGAAGGAGACAGATCTATTATTATTACATTAGTGCTTACTAATAGGTCTCAGTTCCACAAATGTTTATTCATATGAGTAAAGTAACTTAAGAGATTTCAGGATCAGCACTACACTTAAAAGCTATGAATTTTTAACCAGCTTTGGAGAGCCCTGGCAATGTTCATCTTTGCATTTCCCCAGTAAAGCCGCCCTCGCGGGGCTTCCTCGTTGCGATCTCCAATTCTGGAGGGGCAGAACAGAACATGCCGTGTTGCAGCTGCTGCTATTTCTCCAGATGGAATTAGTGGCCTGGTAAATTGCCACACACTAAAGGGATATATAGTAGAATTAAATGCATCTTTAGGTCCGCATTTGAGCACTTGAGAGAATGCAAAAATGGTAAATTTTGGATCGTACTGGGTGAGAAATGGGAGCTAGTGAACAGCACAGCTCCTACCTGCCCCGGGGAGAGGCAACCCTTTAATCTCGAGTGAGGATTAGGGTGCTTAGAGTTGCTGTCCAGATGGTCTAGCTGTGGGTTGCAGCCTACAGCTCTGACTGGATCCATGGCAAAGGTCGTTAGAATGGGAATGGTGGAATTAAGGAAAAGGCAGCTTATAAGCAGCTGGGATGATGTTGTGGCCCAGCTGGTCATCCTGGTCATCCACACGCCTTTTGAGCCTATGAGCGTTTGTGTGGATGCAGGAAACTTGCTCATAAGCCTGCTTCTATCTGAGCATTTTCCTTAGGGTTTAGCAGAACCATTCAGAAGTGGTGGTTCTAGCGAATTCTTAATATAACTGCTGCGGAAGTTATATTCAAATGTTGTCTATACTGCGTCATCGTATACTCACCATATCCCTCCTCTTTCAACACGGTCATCCCAGCAGCACAGCCAGCAATTCCACGCAGACGTGTGGCACTGCAGACAGAGCCAGGGAAGCTCTAAGGCAACTGGCTCCGGTAGAGGAGAAACCTGGAACTTGCTGTCTAGACGGTGTTGCTCCAGGCTCTTAGGAATAGGCAGCAATTCTTATGGGGGAAGAAACACTAATCACACATTTAGAAGTGTGATTACACATTTAAAATCCATTTCGTTTTATTTTGCATTCATTAGGAGTAAGAATTCCCTCTGGGAAGCACACATCTACTTTATCTACGATGGTATCTGTGTTAGGGTTAATACATATATCTCTAATTGCTGCCCATGTGTTTATTTTAGGATCAGCCTCCTGTGATGAGGTTAGCTGGCTAATCTGGTAAACTGGGTCTGTAGTGTAAAGTGTGTTCATTCAAGGATAAATAGCTGTGAAATTACAAGTATAATCCTTGTGGATTTACGAGTCAATTACGGTATCAGGTCTGTAATATCTAGTGTCTCTGGTGATCAATACAATGCTTTCCAAAATGTTTTCCATGACCTATTCAACTGCTAGAGAGCTGAAGTATAGAACGTGTGTCTGCATGCTCATAGCTGCTGTTTTCAAACTTTCGGCTACACCATAAGCTTAATTTATCTTTTGTTTTGCTTCTCTTTTATTGTCTTCTGAGTGAAACCTAATATATGGTGAGCATGAGAGAGATCAGAATCTGGCCTATGTGTTGAAATCTCCTGTACTGAAATTTCTGGGTTTTTCTTTCCTACTTTAAGGACTGCAGCTGTTTCTCTATGCACTGTAATAACTTCATAACGCTTTTCTAAAACATGCAAGTTGGTTAATTATAAATCTGTTTGCCCCAGGATGCTCTCCGTTTTGCTCACTTCCCACTATATCTTGTACAAAATGCTCTTTTTTTTTTTTGCATGCTGGAGTCATTTTTGCCCTCTTAAAGTCTGGATATTTTCTCTAACAAGACTTTCAAGAGTCCAACACTATTCTTCAAGTCTCTTCTGAGTTATGCTTTTGGCTAAGCCCCATGCCAGCCTGCAAAGTCAAGCATTGTTCTATTTTAAAATCTTTTTGTGGCAAGAAAAGCCTTTGGTACCATCAAAGAATAATAAGTTTCTAAAGTGCCATAGAAAGAAATCTTTAATCTGCATGTTGTGTCAGATGAACA